TGTTCCAAACATAATTCTTTTTTCTTTAAAAAAAAAAGGTGTTACCAGTAGCCATAAAAATGGATATGTACGTTCTTACTGGATACATGCTTTACGTTTTAACAGAAGAAACGCTACAAGTTGAATAATGAAGTCTTTGTGAAGTTTCTGCTTGACTATTATAAGAAAAATACATTACTGTAGCTTTTTATATATATTATTTTGATATAGTAATATGGGCAAACAGATGAACCAATGCACATGTGCACCAATGCATTGGTTTTGAGAGTATAGGCCTCATAACATTGTCTTTGTTAGCTATGTCCTGTCCAGAGCAAAGTCCTCTGGGCTGAGAGGTTCAGACTGTGTGTGTCAACAGTGATTACACAGATGAGGTCTGAGCTGGGACAAGTTCTCCACCTTGCTTTTTTTCCTGAATCTCCACATCTACGTGACTCAATGCAGATTACAAGTGACTGTACAGGCAATACAGGCAATCAATGAATAAGACACATAGGCTAACCTCACTGTATAGAGCTATTTGCAGCCAGCTATAGTCATGATTTACTATGCATCTTTGTCAACAAGAAAAGTGGTGTTTTATTTCTCTGACATTAACAGGAATCAATTTGTGAGGCCCAATTTACCTGACCATTCTGTTTTTGGTACATAAAAATTTAAAATGACTTCTCCTTTTCTCCATTATGCAAGAGTTTAGAAGTTATTCCCTAGTGCTGTTATTAGAGATGTCATTTTGCTTTACACTGTTTTCTACTGTAATATAATTGTTAGAAAACTTTGAAAATAAAAGTAAACATTGAGCTGCACTCTTGCTAAAAAAATGAACAAACCCTATCATCAGCAGAAAGCTTCATAATGAATGCAAGAATCTTAATTTCAGAAGTGCTCATCAATAATTTTGAAGTATATTTCCTCTTCAGATGACATTAAATGAAAGAGGTGAGAGTGGCACTCAAAAGTGGTGTATTTCAAAAAACACCCGAGTAAGTAAAGACTCGGTTTTTATCCATAATCATAAGAGATAGAGCATATCACAACCTAACCACAGTGTGAAACAGAAGCAATACCAGTACTCTGATTAAAATGTAGCACATCACTTTTATGTACGATAGTTCTTTAGTAGCTGTAAGAGGTCTTAATGCCATCTATACCTTTAATTTCAGCAGTGTCAGTAAATAATGCCAATTAAACTCCAATCTGAGACAAAAGGTTTGTCTGTGTGAAAGAACTTCCTGTATACTTCACCTCAGTTTGGTGGAGTTTTTTTGTAACAATAGTATTAAACTGGGTGGAGGGGGATGTCCCTCCAAAAAATAGGAAAAAAAACCCCAACACTTTGAAAATATTTATATAAATTAACTTTTATAATAGAAATGGAATTTATCAACAGAAAATGTGGAAGAACCTAAGAGAAAATGAAGTGGAACCAACCTACAATGTCTGAAAACCATATGTGATAATGTGATATATAAGGACTTCTAATACGTATTATAACAAAGGAATATAAATATACAATATTATCTAAAAATAAAAATAAAGGAATACATAAATTCACATAATAAAAAAGGAGTACAGGAATTAAAAAAAACAGAAAATTAGGCCACAATTACATAAATGAGCAGCAATTTAGGAATTTTGGATATATGGCTTTCCTTAAAAGCATATGTTTTTTCAAGGCAATCTGAACTCTTACAATCTAAAAGATCAAGTTCCTGTAAAGCATTACAATAATTTAAACATTTTAGTAAAATAACAACAAATTTCTGTTCTGAAATATACTGAACAGAACAGGAAAGGAAGGCATTTGGGTCCTTAAAATAAAATCACAGTTATATGCCTGCAAGAACAATAAGAAAAAGGCACTAACCTCCCACCACAATTCAGGCCAAAGAGCCAGGCCCAGGGAGGTTGTTACAAGGTGATAATAATCTATGCCAGGTAGGTAGGTAGTAATAAGAAAGAAATAGATATAATGGACATAACTATTGGCTTTGTTGTCAAGGAACACTCATAATTTAGGTTTCTGTCCCTCTGAACTACAGATTTGTATATACACAGTTTGATCTCAAAAATAATTAAGTCATTTGTAATCACACTTTTAAGTATAATGAGAAAAAAGGCATAAGCATATAAAAATAGAGAACACATCAACATGTAAATCCAAAGTATTTAAAACTGGGTGTAGAGTTCTGATTTTAGAAGCTCCCAAATATAAGGAAATCAGATTGGAAAAATTTGGATTTTTTATTACCAAGACCAAATTTCTAGTTCTTGTCATTTAAAAAAGTTAGTAACTGTGAGGCAAGCCTGATAGGTCATACATACAGAGAGCATTGAAACAAGATGCCTGAATGTATGAACAGCCCTATTTAGTTCACTACAGGTTTTTAAGCCAAGAAAAACTTATCTGAGTGATCCCACTTGCATTCTCCTTGTCTGCCATCCAAGATGCAGCATCAGCAGCACACTTACATGAATTCAGACTTGGTGATAAACTGTTGCTTGCACTGGGATACAGTTGTCTGCTGCCACATTTCGATGGGAAAAAGTCTATCCGAAACCTGAAACTATATATTAAGGCTGAGACAAGCTGAGAGCACACTGGTAGCCTATGGAAAAGAGTGAGATGTGAGAAATAAGGCATCAGGTCTTCTTTATGTCACAATTTATTGTTAGGAAAATGAACCTCACGAGATATTGCCACCTGTGCTGGCTTAGAGAGGACCAATGAGGCCTGGAGCCACCACAAAAAAAGTGAAGGGTGTGCATGAGCAGGAGGAGGGAAAGAGAAGGAGAGAAAATGAGAAAGGTGAGTGCTTGGAGCAGTAATTTAAGCCATATTTAACATCATCCCTACTGAGAAGAATGTTAAGGTATGGAAGACCCGGGGGAAAAAGCTACCAAATGTTTTGTATTACTTTTCTTCAAACTTCCTGTTGTCTATCAGCCACATTTCTACAGAAAACTAAGTCCTTTGATTCATAAGACTGACAAGAGGGCAGTTTCAGACACGTGGAAACCTTTGGTCAACACATGGCTGGAAAACCTCATCATCCAGACTCAACAGTTTTTTAATAGTTTGGGAGACTGTAGAATAAGATTTCTATGATGATTTTAAAAATTCATCTTGCTTGCAATGTAGATGACTGAAAAAGTTGCCTATGGTAAAGGCAAAATGAAGGACAAACATTTTAAGCCCAGTTGGCTTCTTCACATACTGCTGCCATTGTCCTGCAGCTCCTGTTGAAAAGTTAATACTAAACCAGCTTAAGTTAATACTACATATATGTGTCAAGCACAAATGCCAGCAGGATCCTGAAAACAATTACTTGCTCAAATGCTTGTATCCCAAGGAAAAGGAGGCCGAGAAGAAGGTAAGAACATACACACACATACATGAAGAAGAACTTTCCCCATCAGAGCCTTTCTTGCTCTCTCTTATTCCTTTTTTAAACTAGGTTGCTAAATTTACAACAGTTCAGCTAGGAGAAGAAGAAACCCTCTACATTGTAAAAAAATGTTACTATTTTATTACTCATTTAATTTTCTTTCTTTCTTTGAACATCACTGCCAGCCCAGAAAGTAATTTGTATTTTTCATATCAACAATATTGGTTTTACAAACAAAAGTTAAAATCCCTAAGGTGTCATGTGATCCACTTGAAGCGATTCTTAGCTTTGTTACACCACTGATAACATGTAATCATAATCGTAAAACAAACAGTTCTAATCTAAAACACTTAATAAAAGCATAAATCATTCTATTATTAATAAAAACATAAATCAAATTTTATATTTGAAAAAAAAAAATTTTCTGCAACTCTGATTAGAGTCATCATCTCCTGAAATAGTCCTGGCCTGCCAGAAACTGAGGTTGATCAGACACGTAAGGAAGCATACAACCCTTGGATGAGACTCAAGGAAAGTGTATAACTCTCTATAAATGCCTGGAATATAAAAATATGAAGGCAATCAGGGCGCACTCTGACCTCAAATAACCTAGGCAATTAAACAAGTCACTGACCTCAACACACAAACACCTCAGATCTCAGAATTCAAGCAGGATGTGTGTGAATATTCTCACAATCTTGAGTTTCAATGGATACTTTTTAACGTTGAAGTCAGTTGTTTCATAATAAATCATACAAATACTCTTACTGACTGTCATGCGACTACATAGGTAAGCAAATTATTCTTAACTGTGCAAATCTGGTTGTTGATTTGCATCAGTTATAAGCACCACAAGCAGGAAATGCAGTAGTATTTTACTAGCTCCACACCAGTCAGCAAATAGGACTTGAGACAACTTTTAAGAGCCGTATCGTCCATAGATTTTAATCCTTCTCACCCTGCTAGTCGCTTCCATCAGTCTCACACATCCTAAATTAAGAATTGTTTTCTTGCTCTCCAGCAAGCATTTTATTTTTAAAATAAGACCGGAGAACAAGCAGTCAAAGCAGTCTGTTTGGCTGAAGTCGCTGCAGCACAGCTGATATGTGCCTGAAGTTTAGTGTCACTTTTGTCGAGGAGATCTGTGAAACAGAGTTGAACACAAAAGCAATGCCTGTTCTGGCGCGTCGCTTTCACGCCAAGAGAGGTGTGAGGGAAGGTGAAGCGGAGGAGGAATCACCTCCCTCCTTCTCCCGCTGCCTCTCCAGCGCAAGCGGGCCTGGCGGGAGCGCCCGTGGCCGGCGGGAGCGGCTGAGGGACCCCTCCGGCCGGGCGCTATCAGCGAGGGGCGGCCCCCGCCCGGAGGAACAGGGGAGGCAGCTCCCTGTGGGCTTGGCTGAGAAGCTCCTGTCGCCCAGCGGAGCGGTCACACACCGGAGCGGTGGGGGAGAGAGGAGAGGGCCGGGGCTAACAAAGCCAGACCGCCTCCCTGCCTCCATTCCAGCGCTGCTCCCGGCCGCCCCCCGCGGATTTCCCGCGGCCGCCGAGCGGGAACGAGCCCGGGGCGAGGCGCCCGGACCCGAATAAGGGAAGGGGCCCGGTTTCTGCGGGTCAGACGGGCCGCAGGGGGCTGGTGGAGTCCGCCGGGCGGCGGGGGCGGCCGGGCGGGCGGAGGACGGAGCGGGGATGCCCGCGGCCCTCCTGCCGCCGCCGGGCTGTGCGCGGGCGCCGCAGCCGCAACCGCAGCCGTAGCCGTGCCTGCGGCAGGCGGCGGCCATCGCGGGCTCGCCGCCCCCGTGCGCCCCTCCGAGGACGGAGGGGTGGGGGCAGAGGAGGCGGAGGAAGCGGCGGCGGCGGCGCCAGGAACAGGGAGGCGGCGGCACGGCGAGGGAGGGAGCCAGAGCCGAAGCCGGGCCGGGCCCCGCGAAAGCAACAGCAGAGCCAGCTCCTCCTTCTCCTCCTCGGTGAGTGCCGCTCCGCCACCCCCGGAGGCTGCTCCCCGCTGAGCCCGGGAGCCGGCGGAGGCCGGGCCGCGCCGCTGAGGTGCCCGGGAAGAGGCCCGCGCCGGGAGCGGGACACCGCGGCCTCCGCTGGGTGAGCGTCCCCGGGGCAACGGCGCGCCGCGGCCCGGCTCCCCCCTGCCCTCACCGCCGGGCGCGGAGGGCTGCTGCGGTGCAGGGGGAACCAGTGGATTGGGCCGGGGCGGTTCGCCGCTTGCCCGCCGCCCTCTTCCCGGGCCTCGGTCCCGGCCTCCGCTCCCTTTGTTTGCTGGGCTCCCCGAGCCCGCGGCGGTGCCAGGCCCTGCGGAGGCACCGGGGCCGCGGCGCGGCCTGCGAGGCGGCCGGGCGGGCGGTGGGGAAGCAGTGCCGGGCCCGGGCCGGCGAGGCGCTGCCCAGCCCCCGCCGTGACAGGAGGGGGCCAGGCCAGTCTCTCGTCCCCGCCAGTGGCGGCAGCGGGGCCCGCCGGGCTGCCGTGCTCCTACCCTGGGCCGCTACCCAAATGCACCCCGCGCCTGCTGGTGCCATTGTGGGGGGCGGCGGAATTGGGCTGAGTTCCCATTACCCCGCCGTGAAACCCGCCTTCACTGGAGGCTTGTGCGTCCCCGTCTCCGGCGGGGCGGGAGCCCGGAGGTGGCGATTTGGGCAGCCGGGTCGGATTTGTGCGGTGGAGGAGCCCCGGGGTGTTGCGAGGTGAGGGTGCGCCAAGGGCTCCCGAAGGGGCGAGCGAGAGAGGCTCCTTTCTGTGACAGGCAGCACTTAAGAACTTGACTTTAACAAAAGCATTACCAGATCCGCAAACTTTACTCGCTTTCATTGTTCTTCGAGCTGCTTTTTACACTCTCTTTCCGTAAAGATGCCACTTAGAAAACAACTAGCCCATGCCAACACGTTTGCTCATGAAAAAAGCCTTTGCAAAACAACGGGTTTTTGAGAGATGCAGAGGATGATGCTTCTGTGATGTGAGGATACTTTGGCTATGTCTTTCTGTCCTCCTTATTTTTCTTCCTATGTTTTCAAAATCGTCTTAGTTTGGAACATAGTGTTTTGTTTTTCATGTGGAGTAGGTTACTGCATTAAAGAAGTTGGTCGTAGAATATGCTTTAGTCAGGAAAACTGACTTCCCCTTAAAAAATTCTTGTGCCTTTTCACTGTGAGGGCCCAACCACTCTTTCCTACAGGCGAAGAATGTTTATGTCATGTCTGTCCTCTTAATACACCTGTAGTTAAAAAACGCCTGCTGCAGGCCTCCTGTCTTGGAAAGTTGCTGTCTGCACAAGTATTCAAGGAATAATGCATCTGCATTTCTGCTCTGGGTGGAAAAAACCGAACTGGTTCTGTTTCTAATACTTGTTTGTGCTAATAGACACATCTAGACACATCTTTGGATTGTAGAGAATATGGAAGCTTTGGTGCGATTATAAAATAAATTACTTAGCTTGGCTGGAAGACTCTCAACAACTAGAGAGTGTGTAGGTATTTTTTGAGTCTTCTGCAAGAAGAGAGTAGTCAGAACTCACAGTTTTATGTGTAACTTAAGACAATTTTAGCTTTTTCAAAATGCTTACTTTTTTGACGTGTTAAACTGTACTTGAAGGTAGTTTTCACTTCCTATTCAGTATGTCTTGGGGTTTTGGCATTGCTCTGTGCTTGGAACTGAGCTTTTACTTGAAACAGGTTCACCTCTTGTATGCTTAATCAGGGATGCATTCCCTATATCCCAAGTTTTGAGATTTACATTTTTTAAAGTTAAAATCTAATGAAATTAAGCCTTAATACTTAAAAGTTTACGTGGTAACAGAGCATTGTTATGCAGACATACCCACATTAGCTAACTCCCTGGATAGCTGCAAGGGTACGGAGTAGTTCGGGAGAAGCCCTGTGTTGTGTCCAGGGGTTCCATGAGCATCACTTTAATGTACTGCATGTATTGCAGCATCAAAGTGTTTGCATCCATTCAGGAGACGTGATGGATAATTCTAGGTTTCATAAAAGCTAGAGTACTGAAATCTAAAAACCAGCTGTGTGTTAATTTGCACTATGCTATTAACTTCTTTGATCCTAGATTGTGAAGTTGGTCAGTAACCTTGGCTTACTCTTGGAGAGGGATGGTTTGAAGAAATGGTAACTGGTTCTTACTGTTCTGTGAGTAGATTACAACTTCTGACTCTCCTTAACATAATTAATTGGTAGAGTAAGAGTGAACTCTTAACAAAAAGTTGTTCGTACAAAGCAAGTTAATTATTTCTGCTCTTTCTTATTAATTTTTTTTGCAGTCTTACAGTAATTCGGACACGAACAGTTGCAGGGCTTCATTTGGTCGGGCTGCCCTGAGTTCACTACATATTTACTATGCTACAATAGTCCATAGTCCAGGGTAATCCCTAACTCAAGTGCCTTTTTCTCTCTTTCTTTACGGCCCTCTTGGGCCTACACAGCACTAGTTTAGCAGTGTTTGGGCAGTACAATGCAATAACATAAAATAGATAGGGAGGACGCTGAGAACCAGGTTCTCAGCTGGTGTGTGCCTCAGTGTTTCGGTGATAGGGCTTTGATGCGTATTAGCAACAAATTAGAGAGGGTGGCTCAAGCACTTCTGATGCTCCAAGGAAGAAAATAAGATACAAATAGTATAAAAGGGAATGTAATACAGATGCTAAAATGGCTTGAATATAAATTGGGTAGGAAGAAAAACAGAACAGAGATAGATATCTTATGCCAGGTAACTGTATATTTTGTACTGTAAAGTATTAAACTGAGAGCAAATACAGAACTTTGAGTTGAGAAGTCTTTTTTATGTTTTTTTATTTTCCAGAAAAGAAATAATTATATCTGTAATGTTCCTTGGCCTTAGGTTTATTCTAAAATTTGTTTGCATTCTGTTTTGTTGCACATCTGATTTTCTGGAAATAAATATCAGTGTTCAGAAGACAAAGGTCCCAAGGTCTTACCACCTTTGTCCTGGACCCTCCCAATAAATCTGTAGTAGTAGAGAAGGAAGTATCCTTTAAGAAGCACATTTTTAAAAAATCATTCTTGATTATTTCAAATGTCAAGTTACATACAACAGTATGTTTTCGTAGAAAAGAAGATGATTGTGCTTGTAATGGGATATTTATTATCCAGGATTAAAAAGCAGATTCATACCACTCAAATATATATTTGATACCGCAGAATAAAAAAATTCATGGTACACAGTACATTCCTTCTTTTATTATTGTTTTACTTTTTCCTCTTGAAATAATTAATGTCTGAATTAAAACACTGTACTATGCAAGTTGAATAAATTTCTGTATTAAAAACAGTTAGTTACATTACTTTGGAAAGAAAGATTTAGAAACTTTGGGGTTTTTTGTTGCAGAAGGTTTTTCCCCCGTAGCTGAATTGAAAAAGCTATTGAAACAAAAACCTGTCACCTACTTCAGCCTCTCCTGGTGAATAAAACCAAACTGAAAGCAAACTGGCCTATAATTATTGCCCTGGATGAAAATGGAAAGCTGACTGTATGTAAAGTGTTGACATCAAGGTTATGAAAAGGAGTACACAAACTTTGCTCCAGTCTACACAGACTGAATTTGAATAGGCAATGTGAAGCAAAATCTGGCTTAGTCTACTTATTTTGAGAATTAAAATTTTCAGATCAAAGCCTTAGAAATTTAGCTCTTCAGGTACTTAAGCTCACTTAAATAAAAGTTGCTCTGGAAATTTTGTTTTGGTAGTTTTTGTGGTCTTCTTTTGTCATGTACAGGCATGCAAACAATAAGTATTTGGAACTCCAGACAATTTCAGAAGGCTTTGAGGTGTTTGGCTTTGCAAATCTAACTGCTCTTCATTAGTCTGTAATGTGGATTTAAGAACCCATCTTTGCATATTTTTAATTTTTAAAAAATTAATTAAGCTGTGATCTCTCATTAAATTATTTTCTGGAAAATATTAAGATAAAATACTTTGAAAACTATTGGTCCTTTTCTGTCTCCTTAACCATTCACATGACACTTTGGACTCTGAGGAACTCAGCTGGCCTCATTTATGAGGCCACATGTTACCTAAAAAATTCTTTCCTGGTTGCTGCATCACCAAGAAAACTATGCAAGTTAAATGTAGGTGTTTGTTTAGCATGGATGTCAACAGAGTGGCTGACTTGTTCTGCCTCTGACTTTAAACTCCATTGAAGGAATATGAAAAAAATCTTTCTTGCAGGTAAAGCCAAGCATAGAATGCTGTATGTAGACATCTCTGTCCAGGTGCTGCTCCCCTAACATTGCTTCCTTTTTTGTATATTTCATGCACATAGCCTCTCATGCTCTGTCTTCTGGGAAACAGTCTTTTTGTAATCTGCCAAGTGCAATAGGTTGGCAATTTAAAAAATGTTAGATTTGTAAAGTGAGTGAGTTTTTGTTGTAAACACCAATTAATCTTGCTGTAAACTGCTGTAAAATAGTTTCGGATGGGAGCCATTTTCTCTGGAAGTGAAGGTATACATAGTAGATATTAGTAATTTTTTCTGAGAGTTTAAGTGGTCTGAAGTTAAAAATTTGAACCATGAAAATGAGCTGTGCATCTTATTAAGTAAATCACACACATATATGGTATTGTTCTTTGCTTTTTAGTGCACTATATAATCAGCAGCTGTACTTGTGTCATTTAACTTGGATGTATATGATACTGACCTGTAAGAGCAGTTGTGATAGGTTTTTATGGTCTTGAATTCATGTGGTGAATGCAGCTAGGAGATAAAGTCATTAATTTTAGCATTTGAGATTCCCAAAGTTATTAAATCTGCATTTTTCCTCAAGGATATTCTGTATTGCTTAAAACAGTACATAGAGTGCTACTTTTGAAAACATTGTTGGAAACGAGATTCCAGTCAGACTTGGTTTTACAGTGTGTGATCTCTTGTTTTTTCTTGAGTAGTTTTATTCTTAATTAATCTTGACGTTTTCTGGTAAATGTGCTAAAACAGTAGCTTGTAGGAGTCTTGAGTAGGTGATTGTTTTTCCTTCTCCAAAGCAGTCTGCATTCCTCAAATAGGTTGAGAACATAGTAGGCTACTCCAAATGTTTCTTTTTGGTCCCATGATGTTTCTAATACAGTGGTCAAGCTTGCCTTCTTTTTTTGTTCCTTCTGATTTTGGGAATTCTGTCTCTCCTGCCTTAACCTCAGTAAGTGCTGCAGGACTGGGCAGTTACAAGCTGTAATTTTGACTGGTTTTGACATCAGTAATGGGTTTTAATACCCTTGGAATCCCTTTGGGTTAGTAATCAGGTATCAGATTAGGAGTTTTAATCAAATAGAGAAACAGAGACAAGTGTCAGCAGGGCAAAGGATTTTGATTACAGAAGGTGTGCCTTCTAGGATGAGCAGTGTGGAAGCTGTACTCCAAAAACAGGGTAGGCATCTTTTCAGATGGATGTTCTTTCAGGAGCTGGTGGGAACTGGGTGAGTAAGGAATTCTCGCCAGATTCACTAACAGAAGCTGTTTGTGCAGGGATACTGCTTTGGGTGAAACTTGTGCTGGGGGAGTTTTCCAAGGTGGGATTTTGGTCAGCCCAAGGAGACTGGCTCTAGAATAGTTGGTTTGTGCATTCAGACCTACGAGTCACTAAGGTGTGTGTAAGAGCTTAAGTCTCAGTCTGTGTAAGGTAGGTGCCTAGTGGCTTTTTTATTCCTTCCCCTCCCTGTTCTCTCTGCAGCAGAAAAGAAGCAAACTCAGTGCTGATCAATGCACACTGAAACATTGACTTTCTTCCTCTTTTTGGCTTTTGAAAGGAAAAGAGCTGCTGGTTAGTAGTAGTAAGTAATGCTGAGAGGTAATAA